ATATTTTGTTTTTCAGAACAGTTGTGCGTCGACCAAGTGAGCCCATCTCAAATATTCGCATTCGTTAATATAGTCGAAAACATCAAACACCTGTTGTTTATTGCGTTTGTACGAAGTTAATTATGAGATTTTTTATAACTTACGTTCCCAACAGCGGCAATGCCAGGAGTCCAGGTTGAGGCCGAGCTGGGATGGATCCTCACACAGAGTGCAGCGGCACAGGAAGCCCCAAGTGAGGGCAAAAAATTCTCGGCGGTATCTTCAGGATACAAACACGAAAACAAAAATGTTTTTACTCAACAGGTGATTCTCACTCTCACTTTTCTTTCAGTGTGTACATGACCATGTATGCAGCAAATACTGCATCCAGGTACACACTTTGGCACATAGCTTTGAGCATAGAGTTGTACGTGTGTACATGGCCATGTATGCAGTATTTTGCTGCATATGTGGTCATGTACACTATTTGCTGCATACATGATCAAGTACGCAGTATTTGCTGCATACATGTGGGTATTCAGCAAATAACGCATACATGTACACACTTGGGTTTCCAGAGCATAGCACGCTACGACGGTTTCGACAAACAGTACAAAAGTTATCTTCACGCAACATTCGGGCCGGCACTCAACCACGAATAAGTACTACGCCGGTTTGGACTTGACGTGATAAGAGTGAGCTCAGGAAACACAACTTACTTTGGGTTGAGCGGGTCTCTCATGAAATTGGTGGTGACTCGCTCGCCGCGCGGAATGTCCCTGGACGCCACCAGGAGCATCTCTGTGCTGCCGCGCCGCGAGGCGTAGCGCCAAGCGTTGGAGTAGCATGCATGGCCGGCCAAGGACAGGCCGGCAAACACGCCGCCAACCTAGAAACATTTACAAGTTACAGCAAATGTTGTGATGAGGGGTCCACTAGGGCAAGTCGAAAAGCCTCTTTTGGTCCGAAGGGTGTGGAACTGGACACATTGTGTGTGCATCGGGGAAAACATTCAGAAAGAACCATGATTTAATCGGACACAATCCAAAACTATCACACACAATCCGAAACAACCACACACTGTCACAATTACAAGACACAATTTGACACATTTATTTAAAAAGATTCACAAAATTTATCCTACACTTTGTAATGCCACTAGCATCTAGATTTTATACTTAAAAAACCTGTGTTTTTCGCCCGACTTTTCTAGTTTTACCCAAGCCTTACTTTAATCGGCCATAATATTATGCTTAATTTTAAGCATAACCTTGTATAGTTGGTGTACTTTAATAATTATTGAAAATGTGTGTCTAAGAATCTGCGCGAGCGCAACTTCAGCAACATGTCCAGTAGGGTAAGACGTATATCGCTTATTTTCGATTCTTGGGTTGTAATAGTATTTTCCAGGGGCAACTTTGGATTAAAACTCCTGGAAACATTTTTGAAGTTTTTTCCTTTAACGTTTTCGTAACCCTACCTTGCCTGTTATTCTGGCCTGCCATAAGAGGTACAGTGGACTCTCGATAAGTGTCGCCTCGATAACTGTCGCGTGCGAGAGAGATAGCTATAGAAAAATAGCGCGTTCCATGCGGACTGACTGCCGGCTCCGGCGGCTCGCCCGACTCGCCTACCGGAGGAGTGGGGAGAGCGGAGCACGGCAGCAGCGAACGCACAGTACCCTCGATAACTGTCGCGGCGACAGTTATCGAGAGTCCACTGTAGTTTTGAAAACTTCAATTTTGGGCGTATTTTTTTCTTGACTAAACACGCAATTTTACGGTCCTCTGGGTGAAAATTTTAAGGAGAAGGCTCTATCTCAGCCGGTTTTCGAGCTACGAATTATTATTGGAAGGGAAAAGGTTGCTTATTTACAGCAATATAAAAACAATTCATATCATGCAAACCTACAGAGATAGAGCCTTCTCCTTAAAATTTTCACCCAAAGGGCCGTAAAATTGCGAGTTTAGTCAAGAAAAAATACGCCCAAAATTGAGGTTTTTAAAACCACCTCTTATGGCAGGTCAGAATAACAGGCAATGTAGGGTTATGAAAACGTTTAAGGAAAAAACTTACAAAATGTTTCGAGGAGTTTTCATCCAAAATGGCGCCTGGAAAACACTATTACAACCCAAGAATCGAAAATAAGCGATATACGACTTACCCTAATGTCCAGTGATAAGAAGATGAATGCCATCTGGAAGAAGCTGGAGAACAGTGGGAATGACACTTCCAAGATTGATGACCTCCAAAATGCGGTTAAAGGCCTTTAAAGTAAGATATGAAGTGGATACTGGCATGCACGACTTGGCCAAGAAAAACGAAGAACCTGAGAATGAGCTGTAAATGTGTGTAATATTGTATTTGACGTTCTCCGTCTGCGTGTCAGAACAAAAGAAAATAACATACGTCTATAGTGAAATGTTCGCAGGGACGCAAGCCTAATACACGGACACCCTACATGTGTTCAACTCACACTGATAAATGAATTGTTTAACTGGCGTAACATGCTTGTTTGACAGGATATTTAAATATTGTAAAGTGTTCAGCAGTAAAGGTGAGCACTTGAAACTGTTCAAAAATACTGTTGAACACTTCGAAGTATTCAAAGACCAAGTAAAACACTTACAAGTCTGGTACATAAGCACTTGCATGCGCACGCCAGTGCACTTGAAGTGCAATAACTTAGAAGTCTATTTATCAGTGATGCACACTTGCGATCAGTGGCCAAGATAAGGCATAAAGTCAGTTCTGTGCAACGCTCAAAATACTTCCAAGTTCAAGTCGCATATCAAATATTTGGACTTATTTGCAGCAGTCTGTAATCTTATTATCATTCTAGAATCTTCCAATCACGCTATAATCCTTAAAATCTATACTCAAAAGTACACGGCTGAATAAGCGAGTTGCAGACCCCTCGTTTAGAGCATTCTGATCTAAAATCAAGAATCCAGCTTTCTGAGTGAACCAGTTGAGCATCACACACACACACACGTGACGGCTCATTCGTCCTATAGGCCGAGATGAATGTTAATTGGCACGAAACTTACTGTCACTTAACAATAAGTTAGGTTTAAAGTAAATTCATCAGAAGCTTAATCATGGAAGGTTGGATCTATACATCGTTAAAAAATGAACATGCTCAAATTTATGAATATCTTGGCATATGATTTTACGTCCGTTTCGAGTTTCGTCCACCCACAAATTTTCGTCCCAAATTTTTCGATGGCCCAAACATTTTACAAACCAGATGACTCTCCTCGCCAGACGTGCCCTCCAGCCCGTGCAGCAGCGCGCAGGATAGGCCATGGGCGAGCTCTTCGCGGGGCAACCAGCGCACCTTCGCGACGTCGTACAGCCAGGTAACAGCACGGTCCACACGCGCCCTGAACTTGTCCTGACCTTCGCGCACGGAGGCGGCAAACGGTCCCTGAAAGTTAAGAGTTGAGGCGGGAATTACGATTACAACCACGAATCAATTTTGTCTATTTTCTACAAACCGCATTTTGAGATCCAAAGTGAGCTCATGTTTAAGGACTATTTCCTGAATACCCTCTCTGTATGCGTTATTTCTGGTGGGTCTCCGCGTGAAGACCAGCCAGTGACTCCTGAGCGGACTTTTGTTCTCCGGGTTTGATCTAAGACGCAACTTGCTGTCAAGATAAGTTGCCCCAGCCCTCTTGCCCTAGCTATTGCTTGTAATCTTACATTCATGGAGGTTATCTTTTAACAGACTTAACGAAAAATTTTCCCCCTGGCCCCTACAATAATTTCTCAGAGTTTAACCACTACCAGCGCATGAAATAAGTAGTGCTACTCACCGCTCCCTCCAGATTGGCTTTCAAGTCAGGCAGACAGCCGGGCAGATTCCGGATGATGGGTCCTACCACCGCCGCCTTGGCAGCAAGGCATACGCGCAGGGCCGTCAGGGCGTCGAGCCGGCTGCCCAGAGCACTAGCATCAGCTGCCAACGAAAGAAACGTACTGTTGCACAAAGGGGTACATTCCTGTTCATTTACTGGAGAGTACACTTTCACACCTGTTCTGATATATTTCTTAGAGGGTGCCTGATAATTTTACCACATTTTGCTATGCGGTAATTAATTATCGCACTAAATTGGTATTCGATAAATTTGGTGCGATAATTTCAACACACTTTGTTGTACTTACAAATCATCGCAGAAAAATGTGTTAAAATTATCGCACTAAATGCAATAATGAATATCAATTTTGTGCGACAATTTTTTATGGCACCCCCGGATGCAATATTATTCAGGAATCGCTTTTGGGCTATTATCGAATTAAATTCTACGAAATTTATGGCACTTGGGATAACAGTGATACGGTAAAAGTCATGGGGTGCGTACCTCCCCTGCTAAATGTCCTAATTCTGCCGAAATCAAACTACTTCAATTTAATTCAAACCAATTCAACACAATTCAGAAATAATTCTAGCCAACTCAAAAATAATTAAAGCAATTCAGTCGAACTCAAGACAATTTAAATTTAATTCAAGCCATAATTCACACTAATTCAGCAAAATAAAATCGCAATGATTTAAACCGATTTAAAACCAATTCAACCGGTTCACCTCACATCCAATTTAAGCCAATTGATACGGAATTCATAATATTTGTAAACCCAATTCAGGAGTTATCTTCCCCTCGGTAGAAGTACTGTTCATTCCTGACAGAAGAAAATGTCAATTCCGTGAAAATTTCTATGTAAATTTTTAACAGTCGTCGGCGCGCTCACTCAATATGCTGGCTGGCGAAAGCGGCAGCGGTAGAGATGAGCGAACAGGCCTGTTCAAATTTGAACGTACTCGAACAAATTCGGTCTAAAAATCTTCAAACGAACACGAACAGCCTTATTTTTCCTCGAACAAACTGAACAATGTAATGTTCAAATTCGATCCGATCACGAACAATTAATACAGTTTGTTTTTTGCTTTCGAGTTAAAAGAACTGTCCAAGCTGGTTTACAAAAGTAACATTAACGTTTGAAATTGTAGTTCTGTGAACCTGCCATTGCCCTCTTAATTACATCCAAATATGACACGTCTTTCTGAAACACACTTCAAATTTGTTCGCCGACGAACTTCTGTTCGAGTAGTACTCGAACATTTCGAATCCGAACACCTCATGTTCGTGTTCGCTCGAACACGAACAGCTAACAGCTCGATGTTCGTTCGAGTTCGTTCGAATGCGCACATGTTCGCTCATCTCTAGGCAGCGGTCGGTCCGCAGTATACCGATAAGAACCACACTCTTAGAATCACCTACAGTTTATTCATACAGGACGGCCAATAAATTTTTACCAGGTCTTGACCGTCTTTTAGTTATAGCGTGGGACGGTATAAATTTTTACGGTTCGGACCGTATTTAATTTTACGGTCTAGTCTTACAGTTCGAACCGTATTTCAGATTACGGTCGGACTGTATCTTATTTTTCGGTCCGGCCCGCTACAGTCAGGACCGTATTTGAAATTACGGTCTGGACTGTAAAATACACAAAGTGAGCGGATCGTTACGCAGAGTCATATTCAGAATTGGGTATTTGAAAGGACCGCTTTAAGGACGGTCAAGCCCCGCGTTCGCTTAGTCTAGCCCAGGTCTCAAGCTGACTGCACGACTGTACCGAGTTCTCCAATAAATCTCTTGGTTCTCAGCATTACATCGTTTACTTCTTTCAGTCCGGAACCTTACAATACCACACCGTAAAAATATATGCAGTCCTACCGCATTCTTACATACATTCCAAAAATGTAACTTGTGAGGCCACTCCACTGCAATAATTCAGACCGTAAAATAAAGTACGGTTAAGACTGTAGACCATTAAAACAAATACGGTCTGACGGTAAAAATACTGTCTGGCCTGTAAAATAATTTACAAAACCGATCCTAAAATAAAATACAGGAAGGACCGTATGTCTACCGTATATTTGACTACAGATTTTAACAGTGAAGGCCGGATGATATCCCCTCTCCCTCTAGCGACACATGCGCGGACAGCAGACGAAGTTAGCGCAAGAGCGACTGACGGATCCCCCAGCGCCGGCTACGTTTCGCTAATCCAGCCTGCTGATTAGCCGATCAGATCATGGCTCCGCACCTCTCTGTGTGACAGAGGCGCTTGCCGGGTCCCGACAAGACTCCAGGTCTCGCAAGGCTCGTGGCGGGCGGGCCGGTGCCGGTACTAGGGTAAGTCGTATATCGCTTATTTTCGATTTTTGGGTTGTAATAGTGTTTTCCAGGCGCCATCTTGGATGAAAACTCCTGGAAACATATTTTAAGTTTTTTCCTTAAACGTTTTTATAACTCTACCTTGCCTGTTATTCTGACCTGCCATGAGAGGTGGTTTTAAAAACCTCAATTTTGGGCGTATTTTTAGCCCGCCCTTCTGCTTTGAAAAAGCTATCCAGCGGGCTTATGCAAACGACCTCGTGTCTGTCTGTCTGTCTGTTCCACTAGAAGGAGATGTGCTAGAGACTTCAAATTTTCAGGGTATCTTAAGGTTCACTCCTAGAAAACGAAACGCCTACGGCAAATCCTGGCAACCAACCCTAAGGGGCTGAAAGGGGGTATCAAAGAAAAGGGGGTAGGTCTAAAAAGTCAGAAAAAAATATTTTTTTTATGAGCTCCTACAGGGTTACTCGTGAAAGTAGAACCCTACGGGCGAAAATTTTGTCCGTTTTGCTCTATCTCTCACCGTTTCGGCGCTAGAGGGAGTTTCTATCACGAAAGTGGCCCAAAAATAAACATACTAATTTTTAAAAATATTAGATGGTCTCCTAAGGGGTAACTTGCAAAAGTATAGCCCTCTGGGCGAAAATTTCGTCCATTTTGATCATTCTTTTACCGTTTGGGCGCTAGAGGGAGTTTCTCTCACAAAAGTGGCCCAAAAATAAATTTATTAATTTCCGAAAATATTGAATGGTCTCCTAAAGGGTAACTTGTCAAAATGGGGCCCTTTGGGCGAAAATTTCGTCCGTTTGGCTCTATCTCTAACCGTTTAGGCGCTAGAGGGTCTTGTTTGACGAAAGTAAGTTAAAAATTGCTGTAGTGAACAATTAGATGTAAAAGAAGGCCCAAAACCGCAAAAGGGGTAAGAAACTCCCTCCCCCACCCCAAAAAACGTTTTCTAAGCAGAAGGGTGGGTTGTAGTCGCGGTGTTTCACCGTTACATCCCTTTCTCGTGTCTACGGGACAAATTTTAAGGACGCCGGGCTTTGCGGGCCGAAGGCCCGTTACATCATTTGATTATGTTCTACAGCAAATCGCGTGACAGAAATGGTCGGGCCGCAGGCCCGACCATCGCCGCCGGCAGGCCAAGCAGGCCCAGCCCCTGCCGAACGGAGTTGCCGGCGCAGCGAAGCGAAGCTGGCAACTTCGTTTGGCGGAAGGGCGGGCCTGCTTGTTTTCTTGACTAAACACGCAATTTTACGACCCTCTGGGTGAAAATTTAAAGTAGAAGGCTCTATCTCTGCCGGTTTGCATGATATGAGTTGTTTTTATATTGCTGTAAATAAGCAACCTCTTACCTTCCAATAATAATTCGTAGCTCGAAAACCGGCTGAGATAGAGCCTTCTCCTTGAAATTTTCACCCAGAGGACGGTAAAATTGCGTGTTTAGTCAAGAAAAAAATACGCCCAAAATTGAAGTTCTCAAAACCACCTCTTATGGCAGGCCAGAATAACAGGCAAGGTAGGGTTACGAAAACGTTTAAGAAAAAAACTTAAAAAATGTTTCCAGGAGTTTTCATCCAAAATGGCGCTTGGAAAATACTATTACAACCCAAGAATATCGAAAGTAAGCGATATACGACTTACCCTAGCCGGTACACGGGTACGGGGCGCACATTTTGTCAGTCGGCCGGTACGAAACAGACACGAAGCGCGCTTGCCGGGACGACTTTTGGCTTTGGACCGACCGTTGCAGACCTTTGCTGGCCGGCTGGCGGTCTGGGTGAAAGTCGCTGAAAGTGGTGGGGAGGAGGCAGAGAGGGGAGCCGTTTCTCGCTCGGAGTGGGGGAACTAGCAGGGGTCCGTAACTTATTATTTAAGCTAAACGTTTAACCATTATCTCGGGTTATTGACTAGTTAAAAGCGTGCATATAATGACAAATTTCAGAAATGCGCAGGAGAACAAGTCATAAGATGTGTAACGCCAATAACGCAAGCCGTTTACGAGATACGGATACCTAAAATTCCCTTATGCGATAAGTTACGGACCCCTGGGAACTAGGCCTGGCAGGGAGGGACCACCCGCAGAGATCTATGCCAGGCAGAATTATAGCGCCATCGGTATCTTTTCCAGTCGCAGTTTACGCCTCTCACTTACCGCTGCGCAATTTGAACCCTGCGCGCTGAAAGGCCTCGCACTCGGCCCGGTGTTCGCCGCTGAGACTGCAGGGTTTGCCACAGACAGGCCAGCCGCAGCGGGCACACTGCTCCGGCCCGCACAGCGGCAGCAGCTCCACGCCACAGCTCACGCACATACTGAAGGGCTGCTCAGACGGTGCAAAGAAAGCAACACACGAAAAAAGACGTAAGCACTCATATGGAATCAGATGACAAAAGATACAGCTCTAATGAAAGAATAAATAAAACATTGCATCCAACGGGGTAAAGTACTTTTTCTCTCACACAAGTCGTCACAAGTGCTCTGAATGTACGGATTTGTGCACGAAATCAGACATAAATCTTTATAATTTGATGAAATGTAAAAAAGCTACACATTTTAGTTAATGCACAAAATTTAGTAACTTTAGGTTTGAATATGCGTACATAATCAAGCTCGATTGGGTGCATATATAAATCGACGCGCACGGAATCACTCCATGCGACATGAACCGAGGGGGTTCCCACTCAGGTGATAGTCGGGTCGCCCGTCCGGTAATAGTTTGGTAATAGAGATAATAGTCAGCTAATAGACGTGATAGAAAGGTAATAGAGGTAATGAGACGTAATAGTTGAGTATTAAGGGGTCTTTTATCTCCCAAAAATGATTTTTGGGAGATTAGTCAATAATATTAGTTTCTATGAGCCGCTGAGGGTAAATTTCTCAACAGAAGGAAAGGCTCAACACATTAACACATTTACATTTACACATTAACAATATCAGAATGAAATGAACTTAACTTTGAATAGGTTCCAAGTGCGTACTTTTTGTTCATAGGATATATCTTCTTTTAAAATTAAAATAAAAATTATCCACTATTTTGAGTAAAAATGTATATTTACAAAGCCACTTATTGTTAATAATTTTTCGTTTTAAAAATTCATTGAAACCCCTGTGTCAATCTGAACTCCTTGATGAACTAAAACAAACAAGCTATTGACCAGTTTTTAATCGCCACTTTCTCTGGAGAAATCCTGCGCGTTAACTTTAAAAGAAGATATCCTGTGAAAATAAAGGTACACACTTGGGACATCTTCAAAGTTAAGTTCATTTCATTCTGATATTGTTAATGTGTAAAGCCACTTTTTGTTGAGAAATATACCCTCAGGTTCCATCCCTAAACCTCCAGTGGCTCAGAAACTATTTTATTGACAAATGTACCAAAAATGCTTTTGGGAGATAAAAGCTTCCTTTAAAAGTAATGTAAGCAAAAAAAGGTGTAAAAGTGTGTTTTTATCGTTGTCCACGTCGTCTCTGAGGTAGATCTCCAAGGTTTGCGATACTTTGTGTTCTCTAGAAGTCGTTCGGATAGGGGAAAGGGGAGAAAGGGGGGAAGTACGCACGCAACGGCCGGCGGACGTCATTATTGGCAGTCTTTGGTGCTGACGTTGCGTTGGTCCTACGATAATCTAGCGCGAAAATACAACGGTGAAGGCAATGTATTGCTCTTGTTGGCTGAGCGATTAGCGAAGCCCATTACTCCACTGACCGGAAAAGTTTCATTCTGTTTGTCTGTTTGTCTGTTTGTCTGTTTGTTTGTATGTCTGTCCGCACGATAACTCGAGAATGAATTGAGAGAGCGATCTGGGAATTTCAGGGTCGTTTTGTATCATAAAAAGACAGATCGAGTTCGTAGATGAGCATTCTAGCTCAAAAATTGGCTTTTAAAAAAATCAAAAACTACAGGTCGCAAAATGTATTTTTATCAAATATTTTTTTATGCGTTCCTAAGGGGTAAACCGGCAAAGTAAAGCCCTTGGGGCGAAAATTTCGTCCGTTTGGCTCTATCTTGTACCGTTTCGGCGCTATTGGGCATTTCTTGACAAAAATGAGGAGAAAATGATCAAATGGTCGATTAAATCGTTAAGAAAAAGACTTCATTTCGAAAACTGGTATATCCACTATTACCCCGTCTCGGGTGTCAGCGCCGCAGGCCTAGCTATATGTGCGCCAGGCGCGTCGCAGCGTAACAGTGTTTCGTGAGATATCGCGAAGCCTGTTACGCGAGACGTGGTCTGGCGTACATGTAGCTAGTAATAGCCGTGTAATATATGCGTAATGGTGGTTACGTAATAGAAGTAATAGAGAGGTAACAGAGGCAGGAATAACAGAGGTATAATTGGGAGGAGTCGGGCCACGATTTGAGAGTGGAAAACCCCTGGACATAACCGAAAAACTTAATGCCTTAACTCCCCACTAGCCTAGTGGCACTAGTGGCACTAGGCACTGAACACATGTATGAGAAAGTACTTTCCGAGTTACTGTGTGCGTCTTGTAATTCAAGAAACTCTTTTTTACAGTGTTACACGCCATATCGCTTACCTGGTTGTCGCTCCCAGGGCAGTGCCAGGACGTCGGAAAGGTCACGAGGGGCAATTCGCGCATGAGCACGGTGCCGGCTGGGATGTCCTTGGCCGCGACAGCGTAGCGCCCAAAACGCGCGTCTTCGCGGACCTCGAGGGCACCGCAGCCCCTCTTGTGGCGCGGCCAGTCCTGGGTCTGGTGGAGCTTGCCGCAGTAGAAGTCGACGAGGCAGCGAGCGCAAGCACGCCCCTCGGCGCCGCACACCCGGCACGGGCCCTTCTCGGCACCTGACACATCAAAATCAAGGTAATCTCCGTGGCAATAACACGTGTTGAGAGGTTCTCCCGCCGAGGCGGTGGGGGCTGACGTTGGAGTAGTACCGAGAGTGCACTTTGAGCAAAGACAACAGCCCCCTGTCCGAGGGGGCAATAACTCTGGGAATCATGTGTACACACCGCACAGTGGGAGATTTAGTTTCAAAATCGCGACATAAGTCAAATCTTTCCACGATCGGCGTATACTGTAATTCGGAATTAGGGAGTTTTCTGGCGTAATGTTATCAAAAATCTCTGTTTCGAGCGACCTGAAAGCTTTAAAGCAGAATATACGGGCAGAAGGGCAAAAAAAACCTTGTACCTTCAAATTCAATAAGGTTTCAAAATAATTATTAAAAAATACCTTGCTGGAACGTTAGCTGCCCGAGGGGCTATAGCGCCTTACGGACGGAGAGTGTAGGCAAACCCGCCGACAGCGGCGCGTGCTCCGAGTCACTTGGCACTCCGGCCTCGGTGATCGGGAGAGGGCGGGCGGAAAGCAAGGTCTAGCCGCAGGCAGGATGGACATAGTCGTACAGGACTCTGGGGGGCGCACACCGCCTGGTTGCCTTACAAACGCAGGGGCGCAAGATGGGTTGCCTTTGCGTCAGGCACCCCACTTCACTTCAAACAACACTACAACTTTTTATTTCGCTCCAAAAGTATAGTTTAGTTGTTCCTCGGCCGAGCACAGGGGGAACAGCATGTCATGAGCACACTTAAGAGGTAGGGGTAATACGCAGCATAAATTAGAAGTACTCTGGACCAATTTTTCATAGCAAACAATGCGGCTTTTGTTGTGGGTTATCATTAATGGGGCCGCGACTCATACCCCCCAAAATTGAAGTATACTTAATGAGTATATCCACTGTACAAAAAATCCATCTTAATTTTAATAACACATGTTTTGAAGCAGTTTACAAAACAAATTTGCTCTTAAATTTAAGAACAAAAAGTTTCTTCAAATTCAAAACATGTTTTGAAAATTAAGAACGTGTTGAGAAGCGCCAAAAATGCTTTTCTTTTCCAGCCTAACGCAAATCTGGAAAATATCTGGTTCATTCCCCGAGGGACAGATGTTCAAACCCAACTTCCCACATATTATACATGTTTACCTTCCTGACTTGGGTGGATTCGAACCTCGGACCTGTGGGTTCGGATCCTGACGCCTTAGACCGCGTGGCTGTCGGGACATACCTGAGTATGTATAAATTGCTTAGATAGTAAGTAGAGCGTCTTTCGGCGTCTATACCCTATCTACAGAAAGACATCAATAAACGCATAGATGGGTTAGCCCTTTATCGGTTTTGTTGCTCCTGAGCAACAAGACTTCTAGAAGCTCTGGGTGCTATGGCTTTGGGCCGATTCGGCAAAATTTAATGCCAACTCAAAGCCTAGGATCTAAACAATGCTTCTAGGCCCCGGGAACACCGGTGGGATTCATTGCGTTTGCCGTACAGGCTCAACAGTACATAGACTGGAGTCGAAATGAAATCGCCATTTTAAGCGGCCTATAACAACCAAACCAAGTTCACCACAACAACAAAAAAATTATGCTGGTATAGGGTACTA